CTCATTTCCCGCCGCGCCTGCTCCAGGATGCTCTTGATGGCGTCCTCGGAGCCGGGGCCGCCGGAGCCGTTGGAGACCGCCGGAGGCGCCGAGGCGGTTTTGGGCTCGCCTGGGAAAAAGAGGAGAGTGGGACTGAGGGCGCAGGCAGCACGGGGAGCAGGGCAGAGGCTTTGCAGAGCGCTCGGGGGGTTGTTTTGCTCGTGGCTTTTTTTTAAGCCCCCTAAACTTAAGCAAGACGGGCTCCTAACTGCATTTCCTTCCTCTGCCTTTACTTATTAACGGAACAGCTCCTGCTTAGCATGATACCCATGTAAATCATTGCAGCCTGGCGGGAGGTTCACACCTAGCTGGAAAGAACGGGAATTTCCAGGCTGCCTGTGAAAATTCATCCCGGGCCACTGGTGGGGCCGGCATGAGCCTGCTGCCAGCACAGCTGTTGGCATGGCACGGACTCTCATCTTTGTCCCCAAACACTCCCCTAAGTACAGCAGCTTTCCTTCCTTCTCTTTAGGGCGTTGTTTTAAAACGTTGCTGCAGTTCAAAGTGCAGGAGGATGGGCATTTTATTGGGTCTTGCTAACGGTGCGGTCGCTGCTCCGCTCTGCAGCTTTGCACGTGGGAATCGGCTGGGCCGTGCGGGCAGCAGCCGCGACAAAGCCAACGCTCCGAACGCCGCATACGGCACCGGAAAGCTGTTCTAACGCTTGCAAGGCAAATCCTATTACCAACGACGGCAATACGCAAACACGTTTGTTTTCCCTGACTGTTTTTGCACCATTCCTCTCTAATTTAATTCTCAGGGATTCTGCTTTCTCAGCACACTACCTGTTTTAATGTATTTCATTCCTTGTAATTGACTGTGCGCACAGCTGGTTTAATGATTCCTCATGCCATATGGATCACGCGTTCCCGTTTAATCATCTGATTCGGGAGGGGGGAAGGGAGGAGCGAGGGACGAAGTTTCTGCAAGACCCGATGGCAAAGGGGCCCCTTCAGAAGCAGCCACATGAAGTCAGGGAGGCCTCATAGCAATTACAGCACTCAGAATTTCACATTTCTTGCCACTATGATCCCCAAACGTTGTGTACAGGTGTTCCTAGGTCCCCAGAGCAGAGCCAATGGTGCAAACGGGGTGATGGAGCCTCCAGGGCCTCCCACCGCAGCGCGGTTGCCCCTACCTCCCTTCTGCGACTCGATCTCCTTCTTCGCCTGCTCCAGGATGTTCTTGATGGCGTCGTCAGAGCCGGTTTCTGGCGTCCTGATCCGCGGCGTGATGCTACCTGATCAAAGAGGTCCCATAACAGAGCTGTCACCGGCGCTGGTATTACAAGCTCCGCTCGTATGTCAGGAAGCATTTACTGCTGCTCGTGTTCAGTTATTTTTAGGAATGTTGGTTTTAAGAAAAATGTCACTCCCGATTAGTCACCAGCCAGAGTGACGGGAGCCCAGGTAGCTCCGCTGGCGCCTTTCGCCTCCGCGTCTCCAGCTGGGGAGAGACCACCTGGATCACAGGGCTCCCGGCTCCATGCCCTCTGGATGAAGGGCTAACACTGGCACGGGGTCCTGGTACTTTGCTTGGATGTGCAAAGCTTTCCAGAGGGGGAACAGCC